TAGATTATAAATATTTAAATCTCTCCTAAATTATGTTCTGCAATGGAAATAGCAACAGACCTTAGTTGGAGGCTGAGGGTGAAGGTGTTAGCATCCCGGTATCTCTAATCCTCTTAGACAGCAGCTTTGAAAAGTCTAGCCACAAATCACACAAAACAGTAGTTATACAGTTAACAAGAAAAATGCTTACTTATTCAGTGATGCTAGAAATAGTGATGTGGCAGAATTGTCTGTTAACCTAAAAAAAGTATTTTTGATATTCAAGCTGTACTAATTTTTTTTTTTTTACCACGAGAGGTCCCTAAATCCTGTTTAATATATTCAGGCCATTTTATGTGCATATTAGACTGTTCCAACAGTTTGCTATTTTTCCATGACTCTATATTAACCAAATTTTTAACATAAGAAAGCTAAACTTTTATTCTTTAGAATCAGCTTTTTAAAAAATTTACTTTTGATTCCAACTGGACATAGAAAATACCAGCATCTAAAGATAGAAGAGAGGTAGAAAGGCCAGGAAAATGAATTACACAAAGTGGCAGTGAAATAGAATTCCTTTAGAGGTCAAGTGAAAACACAGGCTACTTTGTGAGTTAAGAACAAGCAATACCATTTCTTTCCACCTTAGATCTAAATTCCCTGTTTTGTTCAATCAGTGTTAATCTTTTAATATCATAATTAAACATTTTTTTTCAACAGGGGTAAAAAAAATGGAAGAGTAAGTTAGGGTAACTTTGATAGTACATGAATAATACAGTTTTTTGTCATTCACGGTTGGCTATATGTTACAAATTATGTTAGAATGTAAGGAAACAAGTGTTCCTGGATCTGCCCCTGCACTAATTTAGGTATCCATGCATTCAAGGCCTGCTCCATGCCAAGTAGACCTATTTCTTGCCTTTAAGAGTTTACAGTCTCTTTTGGAAAATAATTTAATAGACAATTATATTTCAGTGTAGTATGTTTAATAATTCTTCCTTTGGTTTAATAGCTTGATTTATTTCAATAAAAATATGAGTGTCTATTCATGTAATTTTATCTCCTATTCCTTTAATGATTTGAGGTTACGAGGGGACAAAAATATTTTCTCCAGTTTTACTATTTTGTAGTAAGAGCAACTCATAATCCACCATTGGATATCTAATTGCACAGGGCTTGTCTTTTTTAGTTTGTTCATTTCAGTCTAGCTCGTGAATAAAACAAAGACATCTCCATTATTACTTAAGAGAGTAATTTTCTGATTAAACTATTAGGTTTCCATTCCTTTGAATTAGGCATTACTAATTAAAAGATTCTAGTAAAATTAATCTAGGTAAGAAATTTAAAATACAGTATTTAAATGTATATGCTTTATTTTTTTATTGACTTAGAAATGTTAACAGTAGCTTTATAGTAATTTATATTTTGATCACTAGATGGCACTAAGCACATGTAGCTAAGAAAAAAAAACTTTCTCAATTTTTTTCTGAATACAGAAGTTTAACTATAAATGTTTTCAGCATTACATACTATAAATCTTTTGTTTTGCAGCCCATAAAATTCCTCTCACAATAAAACCTTTGTTTTTCTGAATGAAATAGTCTCACATATGACTCCATTAGGTATGATAAGTTCTAAGAGAGATGCAACCTCTGAAATTACTTTGGTGGTTGTCCACTTATCAAACTATTCGATTCTTAACCATTTAGCTTTATTATTATCTCTTTCTTAAATTGGCCTTTTCTTACCTGTACCTTTTCTTTTCTGGAAAACAGAAAATATATTTTAATTTTTTTAAGGGCTATTATTAATATATAGTTTCTGGGATAGCAAGAGATCCCAGAGATTTACACACAGAAGTTCCTGTAGGACAAAATACAAGAAGAGCACAAAATTTTTTTGTTCTTGGTCCCCTGATGTCTGAATATTATTCTCACATTGTAATATATTCTTTCTTTTGTTATTTTTTTTTTTTTGGTCTGGGTATGATATTCTTGCAATGTGTTATTTTCTTAATCAAGATGCTTTAAGTTGCACATAGTAAATATCCTTAATGTTTAAACCGTTATTAAATTGAGTTGTTGCACACGACCAGATGTTGCCCAGAGGTTGGGTGCTACTTCCAGTGGTGGTTAGTTCGGTGGCTTAATCAGAAACCCAGTGATGTCATCAGGAACCCAGGTTCCTTTCGTATTTCCATTCCGCCATCCCTGGTGTGTCAGACTTATGCTTTGTGTTGAAGAAAGCTACTATAGCTCTAAGTTGAACTTATAATTGTGGCAAATTCCAGCAGTAGAAGAGAGGACATTTTCCCCTTTGTATGTTACTTTTTATCAGTGGTATACCTTACTTCAAAATTCCCTAGCAAATTTCATCTTAGGTCTCATTGCCATGACTGGGTCTCCTGAACTTCCTAAACAATTCACTGGCCAGGGAAGGAAATTGCTACCATATGCGTAAACTGAGACCCAGATCCTCCCAAAGGACGATGAAACCTCAAACAAAACCAGATAACTGTCCAGCAAGGAAACTGGGGAGTAGATTTAGTCAGGCAGACAACAGTATTTGCTACCATTTGTTTTGTTTGTCAGTTTCATTTAGCGTCTTTTCTGTCCTGATATTCTTGAAATATACCTTTCATTTCAGTTATTTCAAGTGCATCACACTGGACAAAGTTACAGATGTCTCCCAAATCTAGTTATTACAGAATCTGTCATTTAGTACAAGCTCTTTAACCTATTGTTTTGTCTATGCATGTGTCCTTTTTCTAGCAGTTACAGAAAGTAAGAACATGGATTCTCCATATCTACTTAATAGTTCTATCATGTTTAGAGAACAGTATTTCCAAAATGCTTTATGAATCTAGTAGCATTTCAACCATATCTTCAATTGTCTGCTAAGTACCCATAACTTTAAAGGCACCGAGTCAAGCAATATAGATGAGTCTAGCCAGGCTGTCTGGAGATATTGCCACCATCTGCCTTGAAGCTCAGCCTGACCGCCTGGACTCTCTAAAGGGGCAGAGCCAGCAGTCCCACTGATTCAAGCCCTTCAATCTTCCCTGTCAACTGCAGTGCCTTTTGGCCTCTTCTAGCTTGTTTTGCTCTGGTTTTTCCATTTGACATCGCAGCACTACTCAAAGGCTATAGACTGGTAACCCTAGTATGGGTTCTATCTGAAACAACACTACTGTGACTCCAAGGAACCCAGTTCCCTTCTCAGCTACTTCCTGCCGAAGATGTGTTCCTGCTACATTATCTGAATGTTATTTGTTTCTTACCTGTATTCAGCAAATATATGTTGAATGATTATAAGAATATTTATTAATAATTGTTATTTCAAATGCAGTAAGGTTTTCACTGGTTTGAAAATGCTAATTATTTTGTGTTTCTTATGTTATCTGTTTGAACAGTTTATCAGTTCTTTTCAAATAGCTAACCAATATCATCAACTGACATTTTAAACCATCATTATATTTTTAATTAAAGAACACAAATTATTCTTAAAAACTAGTTAGTATGGATATCATTGCTAAGTTGTTCAAACCTAGTCTTTATCCTTTTATCTATAGCTTCAAAAGAGATTAACTTGTTTGAGAATATTCAGTGTCAAAAATATTTTAAAAAGAAAAATCTCTGATATTTCTATTTTTCAGAAAACTCTGGAATGTATTTTCCAGAAATAAAAAGAGATCCAGGCAGATATTTACACAGTTGTCCCGAATCTGTTAAAAAGTGGCTTCGACAGCTAAAGAATGCAGGAAAAATTCTTTTGTTAATTACCAGTTCTCACAGTGATTACTGTAGACTACTCTGCGAATATATCCTTGGGTAAGTGATGACTTGTTTCTTTTTCATTGTCTTATAAAAACTGACAGCATATTAGCCCAGTGCAGTTTTAAAAGTGTTAACCCTGATTATATCATTATATTAAACAATGCTGAGTCATAAATTGTTTTTTTCTTATAACATACCTCAATATCTGCCAACAGCAACCCACCCCAAGTACATTTTAGCAAAGCAGTGATACCGGGGGCCAGTATGCTCATAGCTCACTGATGGTCTGGGCTTTAGGTTTTCTGAAAAGTGAGTAGACTGTATCTCCTTCAGTCTTCCATGAATTTGATTTCTCAGCTTGGATGATTATTGAGGGACAGTGAATTGTAGATTACACTCCCTAACAGATACCTGGAGTATAGGCACTCTGTAGCCATTTCAGTGTGAAGCTATTAATATGTACTTTTACCATTTAGCACAGCCAGGGATGTAGTCGATATCCACGAAAATCAAGGAAGTGTAAGTGCACAGACTTCAAAATAAGACAGATTTGGGACTGCTCTACAACTTACTATGTGACCTGGGGTAGGTTTTATAACCTCTTTAAGCCTCAATTTAATCATCTTAAAAATGGTACAATAATACCTCATAGGTACGAGGGGATGTTTAAAAAGCAATAGTAAAGTATGAGAGTAGTTGGTAAGTTTCCATGTGTTAATGCTTACCTTGTCATTCTTGTGGGCTAGTCCAAGAAATGTCCATGATCAGTGCAAGATTCTACAATGGGCTGCTAGATCTCCCCTAACGTTTCCTCAGATTTTAGTAAATACTGTATTGCCATGAGTATGGAGCAAAACTGACCTCCACCAACTTTCTTAGCCTCATGATTTCCATGTTTCTTACCACGTGTGTGGGTTTAGTTTGTTCTGTGATATACTACTATCTGTGAGGGGATTTTCTGCCTTCTGAATAATACATAGGTTTCGGATCCTTGAAGTGTATTAAGGGAGAAGTTCTAGATGCCTGGAAGGTGCCCCTTATAGAGACATTTGTTGCCCTGGTAGTGGGACCATGCTTTAGAATAATGACTCAGGAGTTTTAATTCCTTTTTCCTTAGCATCTTAGAAGAAATTTTTCTTCTCATCTTAATTGCTATTTATTGTTCTTTTGATTTGTAAAAATATTCTGGAATGTTGGGCAAATACTGTCTCCGCAGTGTGACAGTGAGCCTCTCAGGGAGAAGGACTGCCTTTCGTTAGTCGTCTCAAATAATCCTTAATATAATACTAAGTACAGATTAAAAATCATTACTGGTCATCTAAATATTGCCACATTATAAGACGACACTGATTTTCAAAATAAAGTATCTTTTTGAGCATTCTCTGGAAGATTTCACCTGACCTACCTTAATGCTGCTTTCTGTAGGACCCATGTAACACAGAAAATTATTAACTCTTTCTTCAAGCTAATAAATCCAGACAAATTTCAGTCCCCAAATTTGAAGACATAGCTCCCAAATATTTCTAGCTGTTAAAAACTACTGAATTCATCACAATAACTGTTACCATCATGAGAAAAGCCAGCTCAATACCTAGAGTTGCTGTGCCATTTTTTTTTCCTGCTTATGTTTATACTTTAGGAAGTATAAACAGGGGTTGTCAGGAAGACTAGTGCTCAGCCACCTTCTATTTCCAGTTTAATATTCACCTGAAAATGTATAAGAAAAATATAAAGCATGTAAAAGTTACGCAAAAGATAAGAAATGATGCTGTGGTAAAATAGATAGGTAAGGTTCTGTTTTATGCAGACCCTTTCTATTTTCTTAAAATAAGTTTATGGAAAATTTTGTTGCTTTTTAGGAATGATTTTGCAGACCTTTTTGACATTGTGATTACAAATGCATTGAAGCCCGGTTTCTTCTCCCATTTACCAAGTCAGAGGCCTTTCCGGACACTCGGTAAGTTGTGTTTGGTTTCTTTCGTGTTCTGTATACCTGTTGGCAAAGCATTGTGCTGTGTGCAAAACACTGTGTTAGATGCAATACCATGTTTTCTTTCCTTTCATGGGGCAGAAAGAAGATAAACCTATGTTTGTATTAAATTTTACTCTAACACTTTATATCATAATTATTTGTATGTCAGTCTACCCCTGACTTTAAAAATGAAGGGCATGGACTTTACCTTAGTTTTTAGGGCCTAAATAAATATTTGAGGGATAAATTAATTGTAATAAGTCAATTGGGTTATTTTCTGGAACAAAAGTGCCTGAAGAATACATGAGGATCCTAACACATGAAATAGTCCTCTCTCTGGGGAACAGGCAAGGCCTTCAAGGAAGGGTACTTATAATTGTCCCTTATGTATTAACAGAAGAAACTGATAGGGAGAGAGGTGGATTGAAAAGAATGATAAAATTTTGCAGATGAAAAAGAATGGTAATAGCAGAGTGAGGTACACTGGTAGGTACTCTCTGAAAGCTTCTTGAATAAATATATAAATGAATAAACAGCAAAGCCTGGTCAGGAATGGAGGAGTTGTACATTTAGGGGAGTGAAAGGCAGTGAGTTTGGATGTTGATATCTGTCATGTCTTTCATTTCTATTTAAGTAAATGTCAAATAAGCTCAGTGACATATTAATATTTGAGGACCATTCAGAAGTTCTCTTAAGGGATGAACATCTAAAGTAAACCCAGGAATGGTTAGAAGTTAAAACAGAGTGAATGGTTATAAATGCATATAAGATCATTAACAAATAAAATTTATAGACCTATATGGTGATCTAGCTGTGCTTTAAAAAGGATGATAAAAATCAACATATTATATATGTATATATATAAACATGCATAACACACGTTAGCATCCACTGCAATAAATGCTTTATAATTTATTTTACTTTTGATTCAGATGCTCGGCATTATTTAAACAAACTGGGCCAGGAGTCTCCTGAAGGTTCTGGTACCCTTCCCTCAGACCCACCCCCAATCTATATTCATCTGTTTGCTCGTTTTTTCTCTTTCATCCAAAATTTCTCCTTACCGAGTTGCTCTGGCAGCTGTTGTCTCTGGTCAATCATCTTCCCCACCAAGTTCAAACTACAGTTTTTAAAAGAGTTTTATTAATAGTTTGATTTACTAATTGCCTAAATTGGCAGCTCCTCCATCTCTATCCAACCCTCATTTGCTTCTTTTATTTATTTATTTTTTTTTTTTTTTTTGAGACAGAGGCTCACTCTGTTGCCTGGGCTAGAGTGCCATGCCATCAGCCTAGCTCACAGCAACCTCTAACTCCTGGACTCAAGCAATCCTTCTGCCTCAGCCTCCCAAGTAGCTGGAACTACAGGCATGCACCACCATGCCTGGCTAATTTTTTATGTATATATTTTTAGTTGTCCAGCTAATTTCTTTCTATTTTTCTTAGTAGAGACGGGGTCTCGCTCTTGCTCAGGCTGGTCTAGAACTCCTGAGCTCAAACGATCCGCCCGCCTCGGCCTCCCAGAGTGCTAGGATTACAAGCATGAGCCACGGCAGCTGGCCCCCTCATTTGTTTCTTAACTTCATTAAGTCAATTTTTTTGGTGGTTTGTAGGCGATAGGAACAAGTTTGAACTTTGGTCTCATACCAGTTTTTCTCCATTATAGTTATTTGATAAGCCAAACATCTATTAGTCATTTGGTTAAGGCATTTGAGGAATAATTTGGACATTTTATAGAACTTTGGCATAGAAAATTATTTTAATAATATATTTTCATAGGAAGATTTCTTCAATTAATGCATTTTACCTAGCTATTAAGACTGCTTTAAACTAAAGCTGTGACAGAATTGAATTTTAGGAAAATAATACAGGTTTGCATTCTTCATAAAATAGTGCTGTTTTGTCAGTGAATTTGAGGGAGATGGTAAAAATAACAATAAACTTTATAAAGTTAAGTTCAAAATGCATTCTAAAGTTCCCCTTCTCTATCCATTGCTAATCTGTCTTTGATATAAATGGAAGACTGTAAACAGCACTGAATTGGGGCATGATGTGAAAATGTCACAGGGAGTAGGCTGGGGCTCCTTTCAGGGTAAGAACGGTTAGCTTACAGGTGCCCTCAGGGATGCCAGATAAAATTTTGTCTTGTGCTGTAGTTTCTTGTTTGTGGCAAGAAACCATGAGCCACATTCAGGTTCAGGAATTCATATTCTGAGATTGTCTCTGGGGCTGTCACCTTACTCTATGTCTTCCAGCCCCAATTTGAAGTCCTTCGAGAAATAAGACAGCAAGAAGCATTCTTGGCTTGGCTTTGATCATAACAATTAGGTAACTTTGGACAGGTTGCTTAACTTTTCCAGGTATCAGTTTCTTCACTTGTAAATTGAAGGGATCACAGCTAAGAGTTCATCAACACTTACTATGTGGCAGGCACTGTTCCGTGTGTTTCATCTTTATCTGTATTAGTTTATTTATAGAACCACTCTGTGAGGTTAGCATTGTTATTATCCTTGTTTTAAAACTGAGGGAACAGATCACAGTCACCTTCTATACTTTGTCCTTTTTTATTTTTTCTGTATCTTCCCACATCTTTATCTTTCTGTATCTTCTAACGTATTTTTAATTGAATGTTTTGAAATCAATGTCCTCATTGTACTCCTTACAGGGCACACTCTTTAATATAATGTGAAAATAGAAGTTCATGTAACTATTTCCTAAAGACTGTGAAAAGAAGTGTGAGTGCCCTACTTGGATTTGTGAACATTGTACTTTAAACTTCCGTGAGTTTGTTCCTCTGGACTGTACAGCTTTCACCTCAGCTCTCTTGCTTTCACTGACCTCATAGGCTCTCCGCTAAGAGAATTAATAATTTTCTGAGTCCCACAGCTTTTAGCTGTGGAGGTTCTGCTAGAACCATTGAAGCTGCCTTCATGGATTAATTATCCTTTAAGGCAGCTTCTAGTGTAGGAGCTAGAAACAGGGAGGATAGGTGATATTTATATAAAGTGGGTTTTTTTATTTTCATTGGATTTGGATGTTTTGCTTCTCATTAAATTACTGAGTTCTGACATTTGAGCAGTTATTCGAGAAATTATTTTTAATAAGCAGTAGAAAGATTCCTTTCTTCACCTCTCTTGCACAGTGAGTCTCTACATATCAAATGTAAATCAGCTTTCAAAAGTATTTCTCTAAATTATTCATTTTCCAAATGCCATCAAACCTACATTATTTACATAGTAAGACATTCTAGTGAATAAATAAAGACAGGCAGACACGAGAAGTAATCACTTTTCACTGTGTTGCTCCAGGGAAGTACTAAATCTTACTAGATCCTTTTAATATTAGGCTAATACATGATTTGGCTTACTGCTTATTCTTTAGAGAGTAGTGGGGTTTTCATTTGTGCAGAAGAATTTTTAAATAACTGCTGAAATGGCAGTGAGATAGGCATAAATATTTCTTGACCATAAGCTGCCAGTTGCTATGATGTGGCTTTAATTATTTATAAATGTGTTTTTAGAATTCCTTGTTCAAAATATCTGAGGTTATATAGATATCCACCTCATGTTATTGTGATATATTTGACTCTTTTTTGTTGCAGGATTTATAAATTGCATTCCATTACAATTATAGTGACCAACATTTCATCTATTAATCTTTAATTCTCTGGTACCTTATTCAAGGTGGTTTATGTTATAAACTAAGCAGAGATTTAGGGTAGTTACCTGTGACTTTTACATATAGTTTCTTTAGGGGGAATGAGATTTTAGTTAAAGGTACTAAGTGTGTCAGAGATGTATTTTTAATAACTGAGTTACCTACTTTTGCCGCCTTCTTTCTAGATAGACCCTTTGTTTCTCCCTGTCCTGCTCTAGGATTCACTCACACCGAATCCAATGAAGCTTAATCTTTAGCATCCCTCATTTGTCTCTTCTGGCAGGGACAACAGCAATTTCATATTGTTAATGTTGTATTTCTTCTCTTAAAGAGGTCTCTTATTATGTAAGCTTCTGTATATACCACCTCCGTATACAACGTGGGACTATTTCTCATTAGGATTCTTCTTAGAGGCGCAGCAGAGAGGACCAAAGAAATCCTCTTAAAATCTAAATCATATAGTTAATGTGGAAAAAAAGAGATTTTTTTTTTCCCCATACAGCTTCCAAAGCTGTGCCAATAGCTACCCAAATCTCTGGTATATCATCCATTTTGTGACACCTGCCTGAGTCTTCCTTCATCATTTTACTAATGGACAGATTGTCTTCACCTTTCAGCCTGTGTACAAGGTATATAATAGTTGGCAAGATCCAGAGTGGCAAAGACATTTTACCTGTCTCACCAGCCCTGCTTTAACAGGAGTGAGGAAGTAATGTACTGGGAGAGGACAGCCTGGAATGGTCCCCAGACTTCTGCTCTGGCATCAGATAGTCCTTTTACTGCCCACACACCCACCCTGGGCTGGGGCTAGAGCAAAGCATTGGAGGCACCTAGGGTGCAAAATTTAAGCCTGAATTTGAAAGACTACTGATAAAAACCTATCTCCCCTACCCCCAATTCTAAACAAATAGGACCTAATGGCTTCCATTATGTTGTTTCTTTAGTAAACTGGTTTGCAAAAGCAGGAGCATGATGTCAAGCAGACATCTATCTAATCACTGAATAACTCACTTGCCAGCTTTAAGATCTTGGGCAAAATAACTTCCCTCAACCTTGTTTTCCCCAATTAAGAAGGCCATAGGATTTAAAAATACATATCCATAAAGTACTTAGAATACGTAGATGATTACTGAATGCCAGCTCCCTTCCCCACATGGTTCCTTTTGGTACGTGTCCTGCAGCCATGCCCTAAGTGTGATCTGCCCAACTGAGTCCTCTCACTTACTTAAGAAGTAAATGATTGTCAAACTGTATTTTCAGAGAATGATGAGGAGCAGGAGGCGCTGCCATCTCTGGAAAAACCTGGCTGGTACTCCCAAGGGAACGTTGGCCACCTCTATGAACTTCTGAAGAAAATGACTGGCAAACCTGAACCCAAGGTATTTTCTGATTGAGGCGGAATCCTTGATGCCCACTTGAAGACATAAGTGTATGTAAACTGATCCCAAGATTCTCAGTGCATTCAGCTTAGATAACTATGAGGGAATCATCTGCCTCTGTCTATCTACCACGTCTCTCCTCTTACCCCTTCTGCTTAAATAAGCCTTTCCTTTGTCCACGCAGACTGGGTCTTTATCTGTGATAGAGGAGAGCAAGGATTCCAAGCAGGAGGGCCACAGATCTAAGGGGTACACCAGATGAGTGTGTGGGATAGCTGAGGAATGATATCCTGGTAACAATCTATCAAAGTTTTTATTTGTAAAACAAGCAATAGTTGAAAGTATGCTACAGACTAGCCTAACGATACACTTGCTTTTGACAATTTGATCACACTGTCGATGTTGAGCATTGGTGCATTTCTACCAGCAGAACCCTGCCTTCCAAAAAATTATTTACCACGAGCCCCATGAGCAGTGAGGTCATTGGGTAACTAAGCCCTGCTCCATTGACTCCCACAAAGCTGCAGTCCCCTGGGGACTCCTGAGGGGTTTAGTGGATGGAGCATCCTGACTTGGAGGTTCTAGTTCTCATACCCTTAACCTTATTTTCTCATCTGTAAATTGAAGAGCATGGACTAGATCAATGGAGTTTTGCTTCAGAATACCTAGGGAGCTTTCCAGATTCCACATGTCCAGCCCCACTCTCAGAGATTCTGTTTCAGCAGATCTGGGGTTGGACCCAGAAACTCTCTTGAAAAGTGGTTGTGGTGTGCACTCTTTATAATCTGCAACCTGCTATAACAAGTTGTCTCTAATATCTCACCAGCTCTTCAATTCTAGGGGCAGGTTTCATTGTAAACATATACATAAACATATAAGTTCATGTTGTCTTTAGGAAAATTGAATAAAATCATGTATTTCCTCATCTGCCTTCTATCTGCAAATGTGCTGTACAGCTTTGTAACAAACCTGGCGCCAAGGGAATCAAATGGAACAAATTGATGGTCACCAGTGAAGTTATTCAAGGAAATTTAAGATGTTTAGGCAATTTTCTCTTGTTGTACTCTGATGCCTGTTTAGAAATTTTCTTCTGTCTTCCGTGAAATGAACACTACTCTTCCACAATTCTGTGCCTCAAATAGAATTTGCTGTGTGTCTTACAGGTTGTTTATTTTGGTGACAGCATGCATTCAGATATTTTCCCAGCCCATCACTATAGTAACTGGGAGACAGTCCTCATACTGGAAGAACTCAGAGGGGACAAAGTTGTAAGGAGTCACAGACCTGAGGAGTCAGAGCCTCTAGAGAAAAAAGGAAAATATGAGGTAAGGGTTCCCTTCACCTCTTTCCTTGAAAGAAAAACGTTTATGTTTGAAATCTAAAGTATCTTTATACTACTTGACTCCAAAATTATCCTGGTCAGACTGAGTGCCGTCATGTTCCCATAGTTTGTTTTTGAGGCAGTATTTGTATTGATGGGCCCATCCTTAGCAAATGTTTCAGGCCAACTTAGTTGTTTTATCTACTTTATGGAAAATCTATCATGTGTTTTTCTGCATATATTTAAGGCAGATGTAACAGTTGTGTGATTTTTTCCCACAAATTATCTTTTGACATAAACCTGGAGCCACAACTTAGAAAGTAGACTGCTTTAGTATGTAAGTTCAGGACTGTTCCTCCACACAGCACGTTTCCATCTGAAAGGCCAGAGCAGTACATCAAAAACAGGCAGTAAGTACAGCACATCCTGAGAGTTCACATTCTTTCCTGCTTCCCTGTGGAGGGAACAAAGATATAAACATCTTTAATTACTATAGTAGTAGGGAAACAGTTCATAAAAAAGAGAGCTAAAAAGGAAACACCTATGAGGGTTTTTCTGTTTATTATGTGATTGTTAATAAAAGTGCAGTTTTTAGTTTAGTTTTTCTAACCAAATTTCAAGCACAGAACATATATAAGGTGCAGTCTTTTGGTGAGTACAAAATCTGAATGCAAAAGGATTTAATTCTATATTTGCAGTTACTTTATTCAGCCTAAGTAAACGTTTAAAAATATAATTAAAATCCAAGTTAACCAGATCATTTTAAGATTGATGTTGTGAACTGTTTACATTTACTACATTTTTATGGAGATTAATGTTTTGTTTCACTTAGGTTTGAATTCAGTGTCTCAGATATTTACAGTAATTTCCATTTTAGATAAAACCATCTGGAATTTGAGGATCACTTTTACCTCTCTGAGTGACAAGAAGCTTAAGATAAGGATAGGGAACATCTCAGATGGAACTTTAAAGGCTTATCTACAAACCTTTTTCTAAAATCATGATACATCAATTGATTACCCACTCTACTATATTGGAGCATGAGGTCAGCTTAGCAAAAATGGTACATTTTAATGATTAAAGTAAGCCTAGTTAAAGAGACTAAGGAATAATTTGTTTTAATTTATTTTTATTTCCAGAAATAAATCAAAAGTCTATTATACTTGTAATTGCTCGCACACTCTCAGTCCTATATGACTACCCTACTGTACAAAAAGAAAAAGAACTCTCTTTTTCTGCTTCCTTCATTAGTGTTGTCATATGTTTCTTCATTTTAACTAAAAAGAAATAAAAAACATTTTCAGACTTTTTAGAATAGCATGTTATAAAATTCAAGTGCAAAAATAATTCATTTTAATGATTAAAATTCTTAGCAGGCAAGAAAAAAGAGACCAGCCTTTAATTAGAGAAAGGCTGTCTACCAAAACCCCAGTGGTAATGTAATATGTAATGGAGAAATTTAAGGAGAGAAAAAGCCATATTTAATGGAGACCCATGCCCCTCAAGGTTCTGAGATAAACAAAGATGCTTATTATTAATTACACTGTATAACAGAGATCTGGCCAACATCACAAGAACAGAAAAAGAAATGTGGGATAAGATTAAAAGATAAGACACCTAATTATCATTATTTCATGATTATATGATTATTAGCATAGAAAGCCTTAGTGAATCAACAAACTGAGAGTTCTGTCAGAATGCTGGATCCAAATCACCATTCAAAAATCAATAGCTGTTCTCTATACTAGCAGTTACCATTTGCAAAATGTAATGAGAAACAAACATTTGTGAAAGCAATGAAAACAAATCACTGTCTAGGAATTAACCTAACAAATACATAAGACCTTGATGGAGTAAATTTTAAGCCTCTATTAAATATTCTGAAAATAAACTTGAATAAATGGAAAGATACACCATACTTATGCATGATATAAAATTATATAGATACCCATTTTCCTCAAATTTATTTGTAAAGTCAATGTTAAGTTATGCAAAATCCCAGGAGGATTTTGGGTGAACCTTCACTAACCGATTCTGCAGTTAGATGGAAGACTTAAGGCCCTAAAATAGCTAAGACAATTTTATAAAACACAATAATGAAAGGAGGGAATTTCACCCTATCAGATACTA